TAAATAAATGCTCTTCAGATTATTGCAAGCCTTTGGCTAATTTTCCAGAGTTTGTAAAAGTTGACTTTGACAATTTTTGCTTGTGTTCTCATTGCTTTTATGGAAGAACAGATTTTCAGAGGTTGTTGCTCTGCTATTCCAGAAGTCCCTCCACCTTATTTTAAACACCAGAAATGTTTTAACTTTTATTCAAGGCCAAGTATAGTTAGATTTACAAGGCTTTTACCTATCTTCACAAACTGAACACACCCATGTACAAGTTACATGGGTAACTTGCATTGCTCTTTATGCCCCTTCCCAATCACTAAACATCCCTTCCTTAAGATAACCTGGTTTTAGACTTAATATAATTTGAACCATTTAGTATACACTCTTTTATGTCTGTCTTCTTTCATTCAACATTATGTTTGTGAGATTCTTTCCTGTTAGATGTAATTCAGTCTTCCTCATTGCTGTAGTATTCCGTTGAGTGAATATACCACAACTTATACATTCTCTGTAGGTGGACATTTGGATTACTTACAATATGGTGCTGTTACAGTATACTCTTGCACAGATATTTTTGTGAACATATGTAAACATTTCTGTTAGGTATATACCTAGAAGTGGAATACCTGGGTCATATGTTATATGAATGCTGAGCATTAGTGGATACACTGTTTTCAAAGTTGGTGGGCCAATTTACATTCCCACAGCACTGTATAAGAGTTCTGTTTACTCAGTATCCTTGCCATACTTGGTAGTACTTTGGGTTTTTCATTTTAATCATTCTGGTGAGAGTGTAGTGGTATCACAGTATGACTTTAATTTGCATTTAATGCACTTGGCCAATTTGTATAAGGTTATCTGCTTTTTTCTTATTAATTTGTAGGTATGCTTTTTTTTTTTTTTTTTTTTTGAATGCTGCTCTTGAATGGAATTGATGGTTTGGCCTCTCTGAGGCTTTCCCTGCAGCGGCCGGAAGAAGGATGCTAACTGCTTCCCTTCTGCAGGATCTCAAGCCAGCACCTGAGCAATGAATGCAAGGTACCAATGCCAGACTGGCCAGTAGGGTCCTGTGAGGCTGGAGAGGGGCACTGAGTCCATTAAAGTGAGCCTCCACTGTCACTTATCCCAAAATGCCCACAGCCACCACCCTAGGGCCCCAGATCCTAGGAGGTTGGGGTTTGGATTAAATATTTCTGGTTCCACCTCCCACCTCCGCCCCTTAACCAGCTGTGCAAACTTGGGTAAGTCCCTTATCCTCTCTGAGCCTCACAACAACCCTGCAGCGCAGAATTTATACTCTCATTTTACCCAGGGAGGAACGGTACACGGGCCTCTCACTGTTGTGGCCTCTCCCGTTGTGGAGCACAGGCTCCGGACGCTCAGGCTCAGCGGCCATGGCTCACGGGCCCAGCCGCTCGGCGGCATGTGGTATCTTCCCGGACCGGGGCACGAACCCGTGTTCCCTGCATCGGCAGGCGGACTCTCAACCACTGCGCCACCAGGGAAGCCCTGTAGGTATTCTTTACGTAGTCTGTGTACCAGTATAATCTGTATAGGTTTGCAGATAGCTCCTCCCACTCTGTGACTTGCCTTTTTCCCCCTCTTTTAATGGCGGTGTTTGATAAAGAGACATCATTAATTTTAATGTAGTTTCATTTATCAAGATTTTTGCTTTATGTTTAGTACTTTTTAGATCGTATTAAAAATTCTTACTGACCAAAGGAAAGATGCAATCAACTGATTTAATTTTTTCTGCAAATTTTTAAAAAATATTTAGGCAGAACATTTTAGTCTACCCTGAAGAATACCAGTGTTTCCCCATGAGTGTATTTTACAGATGATTGTCCTCTTTCATTCACAAAAACACCAGCAAAGAATCAAGTCTTAGAGAGCTCTATTCCAAAATATCTTTTATTCCTTCCTTTCAAACCCAGCAATTCCACTGAGTATATTTCTTACCCCATTTATTTCTAATCACCCTGTCTTCTGTTTTCAGAGATAACAGAACCCATTAGAGTTGAAGTTCCCTCACTTTCTGCTCTCCACTCCTATCCCACAAGATAGATCCTCATCTATATTTATTTCTCTTCCTCCTATTTCAGTGGAAGATGTAGGTCTATCCCACCTTAAAAAACAAAACAAAATTTTTATTCTTAATCCCTACTAGTTACCTTCATTTCTATACTCCATAAAAAAGAAATGTCTTACACATGTGATAAAATTGCATTGAACTAAATACACCCACACAGTGAATACATGTAAAACTGGTGAAATCTAAATAGGGTGGATGGATTGTATCAAATTCAATTTCCTCGTTGTGATATTGCACTATATTTATGCAAGGTGTTACCACTGGGGGAACCTGGGTGAAGGGTATACTGGATCTCTCAGTATTATTTCTTACAACTATATGCAAATCTATAATTATCTCAGAATAAAAAGTTAAAAGAGTCTTTCTAAAAGTTATCTATAGTCATAATAACTACCATTTATTGAGTGCTTACTGTGTGCTAGGTACTGTACTAAGCACTGTCAGGTGGATACTGTTGTTAATCTCATTTTATAAATGATGAAACTGAGGCACAGAGAGGTTAAGTCATTTACAGAGGGTTACCCAGCTATTGAGTGGCAGAACTAGCATTCAGATCTGGTAGCCTAAGCTCAGAGAGAGAGTTCTTATCCACTCTGCTATACTTCTTGTACGTCTGCCTTCGTATTCTGCCTCCTAGTCACCCTTCAACCCACCCCTCTATAATAGATTTAGCATTCATCCCAATCACTCCCCTGAAACTGCTTTTGCCTGGATCACCAACAAGTCGATTGCTAAATCTAATGGATTCTTTTTGGTCCTAACCATCCTTTCTGCAGCCTTTGTTATTGTTCATACATTCAACAGATATTTATTGAGCACCTACAGTGTGCCGGATTCTTGTTTTACAACAGTGAGCAAGATGGGCAAAACTGCTGTTAACTGAAGAATACATATGTCTTTACTTGTTATAATTAGGAGGTCAGAAATCTTAAATCACTGCTGACTTATTTGTGGATGGTCAACAGACCACCTTATTGTTCCATGCTTTTGTTTTTCTGTGGCTAAACCAGATTATATTGTTATTTTGTTTGTGATTTCACAACATAAGGCAGAATGTACTATATTTAATACCATTTTCACTTTTCTCCAGATAGAAATCTGACCTTTTCCAGGCAGTTGCCATGAATATGAATAAATTAAGAAAGCTAAATCCTAAAGTATACTACCTTCTTGTGTAATTATTGATATATTAATTTATATTATAAATTATAATATTATAGATAAATTGTGAAAATTAATTGCCTTTGACCTTTTACTTACTTTTTCCAAATAAGCATAATTGAATTAATTAATGCCACATTATTTGGAAACACCAGGAAGATCTCTGCAGAATATTCAGTAAGTTTCATTCCATATAGCCAAATAAAAAGCTACTGGAAAATACTTGACTTCATGGAGACATCATGGTAGCTGTTTGCATATCACCAAAGCTGAGCTCTTGAGCCCTAGTTGAAGGAAAGAAATCATCTTGTCTCTTTCCACATGTCCATGGTTATATTCTGTGTTTTTATTCCTTTCCCCAATTCAGTAAAGAAGCAAAAAAAATCTCTCCTACTTATTCATGTCAAAAAACAGCTCTTGTTTTATTAGTTCTAATGGGAATGTGTTTTGCTTGGTGATTGGAAGCAACTATAATCCTCTTGCTTCCATCCAGGGTTACTGTTTCTGTCTGATAGCTGTTTGTTTACAGCAGCAGTTAGCAATTTGCATGGACAGTGCTGTCAAAGTCACTGCCCTCAATGAATCCCAAATGCCTCTTGGAAGAAAGATGACAGATTCAACCCAGCGACTTGCAAAACTTTAAAAGCGCTTCCTTGTCAAACATGTGAAAAACAGCTCTTCCCTCTCCATGACTTGAGGAAAAAAACGAGAAATTACCTTATGCCAGATGGCGATTCCTTGCTAGTAAAATAGGCCTGGACTGATTCAGCTTCATTCCTTTATGTTCCATTTGCAAAACCCACAAAGAACACATTTGGGGCCACTTTTCAGAGCTGGCAACAGCCTCTGCTTTTTAAGGAAATCAGATGGGCACACACACAAAAAGCCACAATGGATGAAGGGCTCGGAATCCCCAGGGTCCAGAAACAGGATGCATAGGCCTTAAATTCTAGGTCACCAATTAGAACCTGGCCTGGACCCAAGAATCATCCCAATTGTTGCCAGATTTGGTGACTTGATTGAATTTGGTTAAAACAAAAACAAATTGGGAAAAGGTTATATTTTCTTGTTGACTAAACCTCTTCTTAAAAGAAAAAAAAAAGGGAGAAATAGAAACTATCTAAAAACATGCTTTCAGATGATAAAGTGATTCCTAAATTTCAAATTCCTCTGGGTCTAAAGGACTCAGTCTTTAAGTCCAGTACCTTTCTTTGCCATTTCCATGTAAGAGATTACAGCTGCTTTCATATATTTAGAATTCGTTTAGAGAGGATTTGACCAGTGTGCATGCATGCGTGCGCGTGCGTGTGTGTGTGTGCATGTGTGTGTGTCTTCTTAATTACATTGGCTTTTTAAATTGACATATAGTTGACTTATAATATTATATTAGTTTCAAGTGTACAACATAGTGATTCAATATGTTTATAGATTACACATCATACAAAGTTGTTATAAACTATTGACTAGATGCCCTGTGCTAAAATAGATGCCTCAGGACATAATGAAACCCTCTCACTGTCAGCTGCTTACTAGCGATGTTGTGAAGAGGATTTAAACACCAGACGAGTAATGGTATTGGGTAGTTTTGAAGATTTCTTCATCTAAAATTCTATGAATTATGAATTAGCCCCCTTAATTTTTTTAATTACCCTCATTTGGGGCAGTTTTAGCCAAGGTAATACCTGTTGTCTGTTTGGTTTTGCCTTATATGCAAGAAGATATTGACCACCTTTGTTAATGTAATATTTTATTTCTTCAGGTGTCTGAACACACACAATTAAGTTGGATCCTTACCTGCATGGTCAGACTACCCCGATTACAACATTTACACCAGTGGAAGGTAAATGCCAGTGATCTGATTAATAAACAGAAAGAAGTTCAGTTCCCAGTGCAGCTATTTTTCCTCTTTCTGTTTATTTTTGTGTTAGACCAGGATCTTTAACCTCACCGCCTCAGGGTATGAAACAGATAGTAAGAGGGTTCTCTAAGATTCTTTCCAACTGAAAAACTGGATGAAAATATCCAGCTTATTAATTATTTGATTTTATCTGTGCATGGTCGGTCCTGAGTGACCTTTACATAGACTTGGTAAATGACTTTGAACGTGCCACATTCTAATTAACAATCACCATTTCTGGATTACTGGACTCTGAAGTTGCCTCCAGCGGAATTAACTGGCATTAAGGCCAGAATGTTTTCATTGTGGGGAGAAGAGACAACATATTTTATTTAATATTTAAACAAGTTGAGTCCAAGCAACAGTTCAAACCCACAGAAAAATTAAGCCTGTTCTTTTTCTAAGAAGTTCAGCAGAGAAATATAAATTGGGTAATTCAAAGTACTTTACTCCCATGTATTTTTGCAATTGGATAACCTGAGGGTAGGTGGCCCGCCACTATGTCAACACTGAAATCAGTATCAAGCGTATTTCCAGCATATTTTCAGGGCCATTGATTTCCTCAAAAGGCTTTGATTTCCTATTTAGAAGGCTTCACATATGCTGCAGAGAGAAACAGACAGAGCTTTAATGTGGCAGTGTCTAAATAGGAGGTACTGGTGATGCTGCAGAATCGTTACCTGCCAGGAGTTAGAAACAAAATTTTGTAATGTTCTCTACCGTATTTTGGTTTGGGGCAAGACTTTCCCATTTTATCGTAATATGGTAATGCTAAGCTGAACGCTGAAATCCTTTTATAAGAACTGATTTAATGGGAAATGCTCCCACTTTTTTTTTTTTTATTGGCTGTGTTAGGTCTTTGTTGCTGCACACAGGCTTTCTCTAGTTGGGGCATGCAGGGGCTACTTCTCGTTGTGGTGTGCGGGCTTCTCATTGCGGTGGCTTCTCTTGTGGAGCACGGGCTGTAGGCACCTAGGCTCAGTAATTGTGGCTCGCGGGCTCAGTAGTTGTGGCGCATGGGCTTAGCTGCTCCGCGGCATGTGGGATCTTCCTGGACCAGGGATCGAACCTGTATTCCCCGCATTGGCAGGTGGATTCCTAACCACTGCACCACCAGAGAAGTCCCTCCCACTTTAAAATAGTGTCTAAGGACTTCCTGGTAACACGTTACTAGTGAATGATTCTGAAGAAGGCTTCTACTAGTCCGTGATTTCTTATCTCTGGGGAAAACATGGATTTCAAAGCCAGTCTTAACTGTAGAGCATGGTATACTGCCTTCTATGGTCATTCCTTCATTAACAAATACTGGTGATGCCTTCTGCTAGTCTCATATCACACTAAGGACTGGAGGTATTACAGTTACCAAGATGGATGGATGCAGCCCCTTTCATGAGGCTTATAGTTTATTTGGGAACAGACAGTTAAATAAACAATCAAAGTGCAAAAAGTTTTAGGAGGGAAAGGTTCCAGTTCTATGGGAAGAGCTAAGAACCCCTAGGTTGGGTTTGATTGGGGCAGTGAGGGACAAAACAGTGGGGAGGAAGGGTAGGGTCAGGGCTGGAGAGGTCAGGGTTATTTGGAGGATTGATGAGATAGCACAGATGTGAGGCATCTGGGGCCCATAATAGGCATCCAATAAGTAATAGAGCTCTCCACACCTCCCCACTTCCTTTGTAGTTTCAAGGTCCAGTATTCTAATATAAAAAGACTATAAATCTAATATAGTAGCAGTTTTTGTTTTTTTTTTTTTGAGGTACGCGGGCCTCTCACTGTTGTGGCCTCTCCCGTTGCGGAGCACAGGCTCCGGACATGCAGGCTCAGCGGCCATGGCTCACGGGCCCAGCCGCTCCACGGCATGTGGGATCTTCCCAGACCGGGACACGAACCCATGTCCCCTGCATCGGCAGGCGGACTCTCAACCACTGCGCCACCAGGGAAGCCCGACAGTAGCAATTTTTAAAGACTGGGTTCGCTTCCCATTTGCTCATTTCCAAATTAAATTTTTTTTAAGGGAATTCCTTTATTTTTATTTATTTATTTATTTATTTATTTATTTTTGGCTGTGTTGTGTCTTCGTTTCTGTGCAAGGGCTTTCTCTAGCTGTGGCAAGCGGTGGCCACTCTTCATCGCAGGCCTCTCACTATTGCGACCTCTCTTGTTGCGCAGCACAGGCTCCAGACACGCAGGCTCAGTAGTTGTGGCTCACGGGCCTAGTTGCTCCGCAGCATGTGGGATCTTCCCAGACCAGGGCTCAAACCTGTGTCCTCTGCATTGGCAGTCAGACTCTCAACCACTGCGCCACCAGGGAAGCTCCCCAAATTAATTTTTTATTATAATTACCCTATGATCATTGCAAACTGGCCTTTATCATGAATGTAGTAATAAGGTATACTGAAGGAATTGTATGATCAAACTTTCAAATTTCCTATGAATGGCCTATAGCATTAGTAGTGCTGTAAGCCAGAAACTACTTGAAGTAACTAGAAAAATTTGTAACTAAATTATGGAACATTAAGATGATTAAAGAGAAAGCTGTTGTTTTCAGACCCAGTCTCAAAGGGTGTGTCTGCATTTTGGTTGGGGAACCCCGAGTTGTGAGCACGTGAGTTTGGTCCTCAGAATCATGCAAATTTATAAATTGAGTTGTTCATTTCATTCAGGAATCTTTGGATTTCAGGGAAGTGATTCATATTAACTCAACAAATAAAACTTATCCACACACCAAAGTATACCAAAATATCCATTTATCATTTTACAAGATATGGTATACCTAGGCCTTAGAAGCAATTACCAGTGAACTGCACACAATAGTCCCTGCTAATAAGTAACTCTGCTCAGAAAGCCAGACTCCCTGCAGCAAGGGAGTTAGTATCACTAGGGCTCACAGTCAGCACCCAGTTCTCGCCAGTTGTTAAATATTCCTAGTATCACCTCCAGTGTTTCCATCGGCTTCCCTGTTAAGGAAATATTTTGATTTATACCACCTGTATGGTTTATTGGCTCACTTTACTCTCAGGACAGATAATTAGGATTGGTTAGATGAAATTTTCTCTTAGTTTCATTGTTTTTAATGCCATGATTTTGAGGTTTTTTGTTTTGTTTTGTTTTAATGTGATTTTAAGGGAACATGACAGTTTCGTCAATAGCAGAGTGTGAGACTTTCTGGGAAGTTTCCACAATTTGATGTTAACTAACGTTAATTTATAGAACTTTAATTTCATGGTATTTTCTGACCTTCCCTGTGAAATCTAGAATTTATCTGATTTGGAACCTAGAAAATCTTATGTCCTTACTTTAATAAAATGAAAAAGAAATAGTGGCAGTACAGGATCGTTTCAAGGGGCAGTGGGGAAGCGGATTCACCTTATTCCTGCCCAAGGCTGGAGCATGGAGACAAGCCAGCCAGAAGATGGCCAGAGTTACTAACAGGAACTGAGATAGAATGTTGTTACAGGTGGCTTCAAATCACCCCTTGCTTGCGTTAAAGATTTCCTAATTTAGCATTATAATTAGGTTCATTTCGGATTTGTTTCCCTCCTCTCTTTCCACCCCCCGCAGGCAAAGACTGCCAAGGAGAAGCAGAATGGAACCATGGGCCTGCTCACCTACCCAGTACTCCAGGCAGCTGACGTTCTGCTGTACAAGTAAGGAGCAGAGTTCACCCCTCGTCCTAGATGTAGTCACGCTGACAAGAGAATGTCTCACCTATCTCAAAAAGATTCGGTTCACGGGGAAAGATGGGTACAGAAAGGATCAGACACATGAATCTATTTGTGTCTATTTCCTGGTAATAATACTAAATTATAGAAGTATGTTTTAATGTGAAACTAATAATATTAAGAACTAGCCCTTAGGGCTTCGCTGGTGGCGCAGTGGTTGAGAGTCCACCTGCCGCTGCAGGGGACACGGGTTCGTGCCCCGGTTTGGGAAGATCCCACATGCCACGGAGCGGCTGGGCCCGTGAGCCATGGCCGCTGAGCCTGCACATCCGGAGCCTGTGCTCTGCAACGGGAGAGGCCACAACAGTGAGAGGCCCGCGTACCGCAAAAAAAAAAAAGAGAGAGAGAGAAATAGCCCTTAAATAGCACTTGCCATGTGTTGGCAACAGTTATAAGTGCTTTACATACATTAACCCATTTAATCCTCACAACAACCTTATAAAACTATACCATCATCATCCTTAGTTTACAGATATGTAAACTTAGGCTCAGAATGGTTAGTAACTTGCCCGAGGTCATGTGCTAGCAAGGCTTGGACCCAGGATTTGAGTCTAGAAAGTTTGGGTACAAAATCTGTGCTCTTAACCACTATAGATCATATCCTTCCCTAGTAGTAATTACACTTCAAGAGTTTTAAATGTTGATTTCTCATATAATCTAGACTCTCAAGCAATGCTGTCCCATAGAACTTGCTGCAGTTATGGAAATGTTCTCTACTGCGTTAAGACCATAGCCGGTAGTCACATGTGGCTATTGAGCACTTGAAATGTTGACAGAGGAACTGAATTTTAACTTGTATTTAACTTTAATTAATTTCAATTTAAATAGCTGCCTGTTGTAGTGGCTACTATATTGGACCTGCAGGTTGAGATCAAGTTTTTCAACATGGTACAGGGTGCCCTCACTTTTCTTGGACCCATAATCTATAAGTCAGCTACTGCTGCTACTTACACGTCTCAAAACTATACAACTAGAGGATACGTGCACTCTCTGTAGGGCTGGCCAGGGCTTCTGACCCCATTCCTCTCCCGATTCTTCCCTCCTATCCCCATATCACCTCCCTCGGCCCCCATTTGGCCTTCTAGAGATAAAGCCTCCCAGTCAGCATACAGTCATGGCCAAACCTTGCTACTGTGAAAGCTTCTGAGGAAAAAGAGAAACTATATGGGTCTTTTTTACCCCTTTCCCCTAAAACCTTGACCCCATAAAAGTGATTCTTCTGGGCTTCCCTGGTGACGCAGTGGTTAAGAATCCGCCTGCTAATGCAGAGGACACGGGTTCGAGCCCTGGTCCGGGAAGATCCCACACGCCGCGAAGCAACTAAGCCCGTGTGCCACAACTACTGAGCCTGTGCTCTAGAGCCCGTGAGTCACAACTACTGAAGCCCCCCGTTTCTAGAGCCTGTGCTCCACAACAAGAGAAGCCACCACAGTGAGAAGCCCATGCACTACAACGAAGAGTAGACCCCGCTCACCGCAGCTAGAGAAGGCCCGCGTGCAGCAACAAAGACCCAACACAGCCAAAAATAAATAAAAATAAAATAAATTTATAAAAACAAAATAGTGATTCTTCTGTGGGAAAACTAGAATTCTTGGCATGTAAATGTGATAATAGCATGGAGATGACAGTATATGTACCTTGTGACATGACCTCAGAGCCCTCGTGCAATTATGATGGAAACAGCTAGAAGAATAGCTGCTTAACTTTACATATAAGGAATGTCCATTAGTACATGCAATCTATCTTTACTTCTGATTCAAACTTATGTGTTAGGATTATGTGTCTGTTTGATATATTAACTTGAATGCTGGACCCCCTGATAGCATTTATTATTTATAATAAGTAACTTTTGACTTATCTTGGGAAATCTAGAACGCTTTTCTCCAGGAGCAGCAAATGAAAGTCTAATGAGGGTCTAATAATATATTTCCCAGTGAAGTAGCATATTTACTTAGAAAGGTTCTGTAAAGAACTTTGATTTTGTCACCTGTAAAGATGAGAAAAATCATTATTAAAGGATTAAAATGAAATCTGTCACTTGGCTATGATTGGTGATGATGTCTTTGACTATTACAATCTTATGTCTAGTTTCGTTTTCAAGGGCTGCTTCTTCATAGAACCAAAGGCTGATTTTTCAGCCCCAGGATTTGGAAGCACACAAGCACAACAGATTTCTTCAACAGTTCAAGAGCTATAATGGGGGAGTCCTCCGAGTTCAGGGCTGTGAAAAAGAGTAAACTTGAGCAAGAATGATTGCCCTCTGTGATACCATGGAGCACAGAGTGGGAAGGAACTTTAAAGGGCCTCGTCTTTGACTCCCTTGCTTTACAAATGTGGCCCAGGTAGGTTAAGCAATCTGCCCAAGCCATGCAGCCAGACAGTGGACAGAGGAGCCTCAGAGTGTGATTATGGTCTCCCGAGGCCAGTGCTCACCTTCCTTAAGGAGCCAGCCGTTGTGTTAGGAAACAAGATCATCACATGAACAACCAGAGCAATATAGATAATATATAACAAAGTGATGACGAATTTATTTTTATCAGGTGCCCGAAAATACAATTGTCAGAATGATAAAAATCCTGCAGTTTCTTTCATTCATAAAGTGCATTAATGGGACATAGCTCAGGGGGTTATTAAACAGATTATGTATGAATTGATATCACCTAGTATATACTCAATACAAACATTTTAAGAGTGCAAGCAACATTTTAAAAGGCTGATATTGGCAGAAATATCTCCTTAACATCCCCAAATCTGTCATATCATCTACCTTTCTTTCAACCCAAGCCTGAAGTTGAGAATGTCCTCTTTTCTTACACAAAACAATAATTATTTCAGAGGGGGCAGGTAAACACCAAGAGCTTTCCGATAGTTTCCTGTCTGTCTTACTCTGCCCAGCATCAGCAGGTTCTCACAGTCGGTTAAGGCTTCCAAGGATAAGTAGTTCTCTAGCCTCAGTAACCCCAGCCTACTCCCAGTAGCAAAAAAATTCCCATACTATAAATATTCCTTCTTTAACGCTTACTGATCTGTTTGGTGGTTAGAATATGTACTAAGAATGCCATAAGATGCCTTTCTTTTTCCTATTTTCTGAAAAGAAAATTTTCATGGCATATGTTTTTCTATCCCCATCAGGATTCTGGTATTTTATATATAACTTGTTACACAGACAAAAGTATTTTTCTACAAAACTAGGTAATTATCAGTATTCAAGATGATTGTCTCCTACCTTAGCCTAGAAACTAGAAACTATCTACCTGTAATGCCACGATTAGATCAAAGATGTGGAGCTGGTACCTGCATGCTCCTTTTCTAAAGAGAGATAGCCCTACGTTTCTTTCCTGTCTGGTCTCAGGCTGGACATACTGCTACCAGCCACCATGCTCCATCCCATAGACTCTGTTCCTTTGAGCTTTTTCCTCCTGCCATCTTCCTTCAGACTATTCCCCGGGGCGCCATTGCCACACCAGGGCATATGTGTCATTTGGGCCACTGCAAAGTGTGCGGACAAGTACAATAAAATCAGCTCTGTCTACTACAACATTTATTCTGCTAACATACAGTTCTCATCTGTATCACTGTGCTTCCTTCCAAGTTTAGAAATTTCCTAATTGCTTGATAATAAGTAGCAGAGGCAGGACTCAAACCCAGGTCTGATTTTTAGCCTGTAGCATTATTTTGCCTATAACAGAGCTCAAGTACTTGGGGTTACTTTTTGTTTGGTTTTGTTTCAGATATTTCTGGATTTTGAAAAATATCATAACTAGAATGTCTATGAATATATACATTATAAACATAGATAAATACAAAAACATTTATATTTTCTCTCACCAGAAAATGTATATGTGGCCTCTTCATAAAATGTTGATGTGCAGGGCAATTAGATTTCATGTTTGCTTTTGTCAAAACAGCATTAGAATGAGTGGTACGTGGTGGGCTGGAGAAAAAACATGAGGGAAGGGTATGGAAGAGGAGCCTTCCAGATAAGTGTATGAGAGATTTATGTATTGTTTTGGCAGAACTTCATAAGGAACCCAGGAATGGAGACCTGAGACCATCTTAAGCTTGAGAGCATAATAAAATAGCAGGTATTTGAAGAGAGACAAAATACTCAAAAATAACAAGTGTTTATAATTTTTTATTTTATATCTACATTATTATTCTGAATATCTAAGTTCCAATAGCTAGATATATATATTAAGTAAATATTTCTCCCTCCCTCCCTCTCTCTCTCTCTCTCTCTCTCTCTCTCTCTCTCTATATATATATATATATATACACATACACACACATATATATACACACATACATAGTTTTTATTAACATACAGCAAATACCTGTTAAGTAACTGTAAGGCCACTAATCTAGAAAAATGCACTATGCACGGACTTGAGGGAAAGGGAAGAAGGAATTCACATGTGAGCATTATTTGCTAGGTGCCATACTGGCTGCTACACATACATTATCTATTCAGATTCTCACAACAGCTCTGTAAGACAGTTAAGTGGTGTTATTCCCATTTAACAGATAAAAAAATGAAGTTTGGGCTTCCCTGGTGGCGCAGTGGTTGAGAGTCTGCCTGCCGATGCAGGGGACACAGGTTCATGCCCCGGTCCAGGAAAATCCCACATGCCGCAGAGCGGCTGGGCCCGTGAGCCATGGCTGCTGAGCCTGCGCGTCCGGAACCTGTGCTCCGCAACGGGAG